GAGTCCTCCCCGGCCGCGGTCCTCACCGCGGAGTCCTGGCCGCCGCGAGCCTGGAAGCTGAAGAGCACGAGGAGGCTGCGCGCGGCTCACGGAGGCCGAGCCGAGGCGAAGGCGCGCACGGGTTGCGGGATCCGTGTGACGCTCGCGCCGCGCGCTCGGATCCCCTGAATCAACAAGATTTTCAAAATGGCGGTTCGGGAAGGAAAGCGGGAAGGCAGCGGCCAATCCGGGCCGTGAGCTGGGAGTTGGCGGGCGCCCGGTGAGGAGGCGGGGCGGCCCGCGTCTTCGCGGGAAAACACGGGCGGATGGGAGGGCGGGACCTGAGCTCCGGGGGGGCGGGGCCTGGACCCAGAGTAAGAGGCGGCGGGCACCCGCAGGAGGCCTAGACTGGAGGGCGGGACGTAGGCCTGGGTGGTGGGCGGGGTCTGAGCCCAGGGCGGGAGCTCTGGACCCGGGTGGGAGGCGGGGCCTGCACGGGAGGACGGGGCCTAGGCCTGGGCGGGAGGGGGACTGAGCTAGTGGAGGCGTAGCGTGCTGGGCGGGGCCTAGGAAAGGGGCGGGGTCTGGAATGTTTGGAAAGGTGGAAGGGCCGGAGCTGAGTCAGGGGCGGGGTGGAGGCTGGGTCTGAGCTGAAAGGTAAGGCCTAGGTTTTGGCGGGTGGGCGTGGCCTGCGCCTGAGTGGGAGGAGCCTGGGAGGGAGGGCGGAGCCTGGGTGGCGACCCGGGGTTCTTCCCTGCCTAGGGGGGGCGGGCGCGCGGCCCTGCCCAGCTCCAGCTCGCCTGGCCCCCGACGCTGACCGGTGCTCCAGCTGGGATAAGTATCAAGCTGCGTTTTGGACAGCTCGCGGGAGCTGACGGAGGAAGGGCGCTAGAGGGCCTGCGAGTATATTGTCTCCTGATGTGCCATGCTGGGTGCAGAGGGAGGCAGCGTTAGAGGTCAAGTGCATTCGCTGTCCTGAGTATCTCACCGAGACGGGAGAGGATACTAAATGAGTTGATCTACGGCTCATTCTGCAGGATGTCACCCCTCGTGTGCTCTAGTTCTGGGGACCCCTCCCCACCCGCCTGTAAAGTGCACCATAAGGAAAAAGACCACTATTAAGGCTTCTCCCGACCAGAGACAGTCACATGCCTGACAATGTAAATGCATCGCGCGCTCTGTCTGTCTGTCTGTCTCTCTCTCCCCTTCCCACCTCTCTTTCTTATAGAAGAAATAAAGAAATAAGGCCTTTATACATTCCAGACCCTCTGATCAAGAACTTATCGTCTGCAGATACCTTTTAAACCACACTTCAAAGATCCAACGTGATTCTCCCCCTCTACATGTAATTTTCTTCGTTTCCCACCCCTTCGACTCCTGAACGACTAAGTACTCCAAGAATTCTTTTACTCAATGCCACATAGTGGAAATATGATTTCTTCCCGATACTTGAATAGACTTCAGGTTGCAGGGCAAAAATTACACATTTTCTTTTAATCCTTCCTTTTCCTTTTATTCTTCTACCCAACATTTCCACTCTCAAATTTTAGATCATTCCCCACTCTACTGATATGCCTTGAATCCTATGTCATCTCTGCTTTGGATTGTTACTGGTCAGCCTCCATCTTGCTACCCGATACCTCCTCTCATTCAGCAGCTAAGGTGATCTTTAAAGGAAAAAAGTTGCCCTAATGGAGTACCTGTTTCCTTAGAATCTCCAGTGGCTCTTCATCATATTTGGAATGAAACCTACAATCTTTATCATGATTTATAAAGCCCTACATAAGCCATATAGATGATATATTGTGTATATATAGGATACATATAAAATTTATATACTCAGCCATACTGCTGAGATTCTCTGGTATCACTCAGACAGGGCAGACACACAAGACTTCTTCTGGTGTTCCTGGATTAGGCCAAGTTATTCCCACTTTGAAGCTTTACAGTTCTTCCCCATGAGTCATAAAATCACTTACTCCTTCATTTTACTTTGCTCTGTTCAAGTGCTGCTCCTCCCCCACTTCTCCTTCAACACTGCTCTTCATGTCATCCTTCCCTTCATTCAAAAATATTGAGCATCTATCTTCCTTCACTGGAAGCTGAGGCAGGAATAACTGTTGGCCACCTTGAAGCTTACACTCTAGTTGAGACTCAATAAGCATGGCATATATTGTATGAAGTAGTGACTTAGCAAGTTAAAGGAGATAACAATTACTAGTAAGATGGGATGAATTTGCTTTTATAAATTTGATGATTAAGAAAGTTAAAAGTGAGAGCAATGGAAAGAGACTATAAAGAATTATCTAAAGCATTAGATGTAGGGGATGAAATGATGTCTAGGTTTTTGGTTCAGAGAACTCTGAAGAACAGAAAAAGACTTCAGAGGTTGAAACGATTGGGGCTTCTTTTTTGGTCAGGGAGGGGCATTTGGGAGGTGGAAACCAATTGTTTTGTTTTGTCAGATTTGAGATTCCTATGAGTATCAAAATGGAAATTCAGATTAGCCACTTGTATCTGGGAGTCTAGTATTCAAGGGACAAATAAGATACCAATTTAGTAGTTGTCAACATGAAGCTGGTAGTTAAGGTCATGAAACTGGATGAGATCACTAACAGTGAATATAGAGAGTAATGAGAGAGAATGCCTCTGAATGCTTCAGTGTTTACAGGTCTAGGAGAGGAAAGCGCATCAGCAAAGAAGAGAAAGAACAACTGTAGCCAGTGATGTGGGATGAGCAGTGAATGAAAGCTGTGTCCTAGATGCCAAGGGTAAAAGTGTCTTCTAAGGACAAGTATGATCAACGGAGTCAGATGCTGCTAAAAGGTCAGATGAGATACGAACTGCAAATTGACCATTGGATACAACAATGTCATCTTATCTGGAAACAACAAGAGCTGATTTTGTGGGTTTGAGGGTATGAAGGTGCCTGGACAGGGATATAGAGAGCTAGGTAGGCAGGAATGAATTCAGACACTTTCTAGGACTTTTACTATATTGGGAAGCAAGGAGATGAAATGTGTGTCTGTGTGCATGTGTGTCTGTGTCTGTGTCTGTGTGCCTGTGCATGCACACATTTGTGCTGGAACGGAGGCTTGAACTCTGGGCCTCTTACTCTTGCTTAGCTTTTTTGTTCTGGTATCCTACCACTTGAGTCATACCTCCACTTTTGGCATTTGCCTGGTTAATTGGAGATAAAAGTCTCACAGATTTGTCTCCTAGGACTAGCTTCAAACCGATTTCAGGCTTCTGAGTAGCTAGAATTGTAGGCATATTTATATGATGTGAATGGAATTAATGATACAAGGAGGGGACAGTGACTGGAGCCAACCTAAAGTGTCTATGTCAGGAGAAATTCTCTGTAAGCAGATTCTGAAATAAAACTTGTAGCACAAATGTTTAGTAGGGGTCCAGACATCTGAAAGGAAGTAGGAGAAAGCAAGATTGGGCAGAGAAAGAGGTCAAACTGTGAAGGTGATCTGACAAAACTTTAGCCAGTCCTGTCAGGATCTTTGAACTGAGTACTGCTCTTCAGAGTAACCTGATCACAGCCTATGATATCATTTGGTACACTATATGCCAGACACCTATGCTTCTTGTTGGCTTCTTGTGGCCTATCTGTCTATGTGGGTAATTTTGTATAGCCCATGAATGATGTTATAAATATCCAAAGGGCTCTTGCACATATCCACACCTGGGGAATGTGTCCTAGACTACTATGTATTTGTTTAACTCATGGTTCAGCAACTTGGGAAGACATTAGTACACAACAATGAACATGGCATTCAGTGTATACTAGGTATACTAGGTTGAATCTCTCTTTCTATAAAACCACTAATGGCAGTATAAAACTTATATATGTATGCATATCTATCCATTATATACACATATGTGTACATATATGTATGTATATATATATATGCATATATATTTTTTTTGGTGGGGGTTTGATCCTGGAGTTTAAACTCAGGGCCTTGTGCTTGTTAAGCTTGGTTTGATTGGCTATTGCTATACCACTTGAGCCACACCTCCTATCTGGCTTTCTACTACTTATTTTGGAGATAGGATCTCTCAAAATTTCTTCCCTGGCTGGTTTTGAACCACCATCTGATCTCTGCCTCCTGAGTAGCTAGGGTGATGAGCATGAGCCACTGGCAGCCAGCATAAGACCCTGTCCTTTCTACTTACCTAATGGTAATAACCTAACATTTACCAAAGGCTGTATCTCTAAATGCCATCAACATATGAAAAAGATTATGTTTTCTTTTTCTTTCTTTCTTTTTTTTTGGTTGGTCATGGGGCTTGAACTCTGGGCTTGGGTGCTGTCCCTGAACTCTTCAGCTCAAAGTGAGCATTCTACCACTTGAGCCACAGTGCTTTATTGGAGATAAGAGTGTCATGGCCTTTCCTGCCTGGGCTGGCTTTGAACCATGATCCTCAGATCTCAGCCTCCTGCGTAGCTAGGATTACAGGTGTGAGTCATTGGTGCCCAACTGGAGATTATGTTTTCGACAAGTGAAATTTGAGGTACCAATTCAAAACATAGCAACAGACTAATAGGACAGATGATATGTTTACAGACTGGAAGTAGGTATTGTCAGATATAGTGGAAGTTTTAGAAGTTCTTAATCAGTAGTCTTGGGAGCAAAACTACTGATGGTGAATGAATCTAGGAAAAGACTACCGACAGCTTCCAGGAAGAGGAATTGTGAACTGGTCCCATAGGAGATTGGGAGATGACTGGATTAGGAAAGGAGAGAAGGTGGCTAGGAAATTGCAAGGACCCATGGAGTTTAGTGCCCATGCGTCAACAAGACTAGTCAACATTATTGTTATTTGGCCAAGAATATTCAGCTACTGGCAGTAGATACCAAGATGAGGAGTGGGAGAATACGGAAAGGAAGAAAGGAAAGAAAGGCAAAAACTAACCAGACAAAATGTCTTTAACCAGGCTGGAATTTGGCCAGGGAAGTGGGGGAAAGAAGAGAAGGGTAAGGAAGTTCTTGTTCAGAATAAGAACAAGAGACAGTGGTTCAGTGAGAAAGGGGCAGGATTTTTTTCTCTTTATGCTGTTACTGAGATTTGAATTTAGGGGATCACAATCTCACTTGTTTTTTTCTCCCAAAGCTAGTACTCTACCACTTGAACCACTCTACCATCCCACTCCTGGCTTTTTGCTGGCTAATAGAGACAATATCTCACTGTTGTTTCTACGCAGGCTGGCTTTGAACTGCCAGCCTTAGATCTCAACTCCTTTGAGTACCTAGGATTGTAAGTGTTTTCCATTGGCGCCT